TCAGTATCCCACTCCCACAATGATTAACCCACGCTAGCAATAATACCATTAGGATATGCATGAAGACAGTCTCCACATCCAAATCACCTCTGAAAAGTCCCACTTTTCAACATGGTTGCTTTGGAAATTAAGTTTCTAACACATGGCACTTGGGAAGCACATCCAAACCATATTACTAATCTAAAATGATTTTGTAAGTATCAAAGATGCTATATATATCAAGTATGTGACAAGGGCCTGGTACATGATAAAATACCTTGAGTTATCTCATCATTATCTTCATTACTAACATTACTGCTGTTATGCAGAATGATTTAGTGGCCTTTTATCCATGAAATAACTGTCTGATTAGTAAGTGACATAGTATGTAAAGTACTAAGTATACTGCCTCATATATAAAGACTTCTATGGGTATTACATATTTTATTTATACTATTAAAATATCTTCATTACAGTAATGTTGGTTATCATTCTTGTCCACTTCCTTCCACAAAATAGTGAAATATAAAATACTCATTGAACTGATCAATAATCCTCTTAGGACTATATAGTAATACTTTGGAAGCTTTGAAAGGATTCATTCTATAATAAAAATTATTTAATTTGTTAGTTATTATAAAATCAACTATTTTGTGCTATACTGTTAGACTAGAAAGCACCATGATGTAGTTCAAATATAAGTTCGTCATTCCACTAAGTTAAGGAGATTGGGATGACGTGGTTCCCTTATTTGGGAGCTCACGATCATCTATCCTTAATGAGTTGCATCCTTTTTCTAAGTCACACCTTGATTCAGAAAGGCTGCACAAATTGTATTTCTCATGATCAATTTTGGGGAAGCAAAAAATGGGAAAGTATGACAAACCCCAAGCTATTTATTTATCCCCCTTTGGTAGTACTTTCTCTAGAACTTTCACATGAATTTCTGTTTGCAATCTTTAGCTAGAATGCATGACTTTCAGATCGCCATTGCTGTACCTGACAGTGAGGGAGTTGGGGAAGAACGCCTTAGGAGTTCCCAATGCCGCCATGAATATAAATGAGGTTCTGTTATAACAAGGAAGAATGCAAGGAGTAGACATTAGGTGCAGCAGCAGAAGTCTCTGTTCAGTTCATTATAAACGTGATGCGTGGTTGTAAAACAAGAATTAAACAAATAACAGAAGCACATTGTTTAAAAAAAGAAATAATTTTCTGTGCCAGAGAGAACGCTATGTGTTCGCCAGTCTCTTTCATTTTCTTTCGGAGGGCGGATTGCAAGGAGAGCACATTCCCTAGCCTCTTTGACAGGTAGGGCTCCATACTTGAGTTCTGGCTAGTTGACTATAGTCAACAGTGATGTTTGCCTGACAAGGGCCTGAAAACCATCAAGAAGATTTTCTAGCTTACCCTTGTAGATTACTAGCTACATTTAAGGAAGGCATTGAAGGACTTCAAAGCCCAAGAAGCTGTGACAGAGTCATACAATACAAAAAGTTGGGGTTCCTTGATGACTTCTTGGAACAGGAAGTCCTTCCTTTTCTGGTCACTTGATGATCTACATTAAAATCTGATATCAGCAAATAAACTTTGTAGGGATTAAATCTCTAAGATTTAAGAGTTGCTTATAAGACAACTCAAATGCTAATTATTACTCTAATTATATTCTATACTCTAATTATTAGAGCCATCACTAATATGCCAGTTTAGAAGTGATCTTCATTAATATATTGGTATTTATTATTCTAGTATTAATATTCAGAGAGATATGAATTTTAAAACTATATATACATGTAAACATTACATATTATATGGTACAGATGCCAAATAAAACACTTATGTCCCCAAATAATCAATAATCATGCTCAAAATTAGTTTTCTAATTTAAAAACAGAACTCTAAATTTAAATGTAACACTGGACAATTTTGATGAAAAGAATACATAAAATATCTTCCAGACATAAAAAGACATTTAAATTTTAAAAAATGAATTCTACCCACATTGCCTTGTCCAAGTGAAAACCACACAATAAAAGAAGGAATTGTCAGTTTTTAGCGATGATATATAAAGTTGGTGCTTTCTTTACAAAACCGTGCTTTTGAGCCTTTTGTCAGAAATAAACATGTATGTGAAGAAATCTCTTAAACTTTCATGAAGAATCTAAGGTCACTGAATTAAAAAGGAGAGACCATGTTCTGGAAATGGCAAAAGAGAATTATAAAGAAGTCAGTTTTACCTCAAATAATGTACAGTTCTAATACATTTCCCCTTATAGCAGTCTAATGTATGGAGCTTGACAAGCTGGATGTTCAGTTCACCTCTAGATGTACCAGGCCAGAGAAGGCAACAAAAACACGGAAGGAATAGTTTAACTGGGATTTTTAAATGATAAAGTGATTTGCTACTTCTTTTCTTCAGGAAATCACTCACCCTAAGGGTTTGAATGGAAATTAAACAGATGTTTGTTGCCATTTCACTTTATTTTTTTTCCACAAGAATATGTCAATGTTTTCATATTGAAGATTACAGGTACATAATTCAGATATTTACAGTTGCCATTTCACTTTAAAGTTACTTACAAAGGAACATTTCTACACTTCAACACTTGAGCGATCTCTCCGCATTTTTTCCTGTTGTAAACTGGGAGGGGCCTTCTGCTCTCCATCATGGCCAGGGGCGGAGCCTTCTCTGCAGCATAGCAGTGAGCTGCTCCTGGCCAGTCTTGAGGGAGGAGCTGCATTTTACCAGGCTGCAGCTGACAAGAAGCGTCAAGGTGCTGTCTTAAATGTAGTTATTTTCTAGTGACTTGAGAGTGTCTTAAGATAAAGATGAGAAAAATAAGGACAGTCTCTCGGAGTGGCAGGAAAGGTGTGTAGTTTGGAGAGAATTGCTAGCATTTTGAAGGAATTAATCTTTGGGAATTTGCGCATCTCCCAATGCTTTATAAATCCACAGTGAGAGAGGAGTGATCAAATTACAGCCTCTAAACTAAGGCTTCCGTGTTTGTTCATGCTAATACATTGACTTGACATTCCATGTTTATAATGTTGTCCCATTCTTTTGTTGCTGTTATTGCTTGAAGTTTTAAATATGTATTAATTTATACAGAAGAATAACTGATAAAAGTATTTGACAGCATGAAGGGAATACTATGATAAATTAATTGATACATAGACTGTTTCACATATACATGACCATTGAAAGAGAATCAAATATGTAATTGAGTGAAGACCTTTGCCCATAATATATGTATGTGTATATATAGACACACACACACACACACACACACACACACACACACAAACACAGTGAGAAAAAGTCTGGAAGAAAATAACTCCCATGCTGATGTTCAGCATCTCTGGATAGTCAGGTACTATTTTAATACTATTTTTACCCTATTTCATTATCAGTACAGAAGATTTCTTCATGATTAATTTTATAATCATGAAAGAAAAACAAAGCTAAAGCAGCACGTTCATTTTATTTTCAGACAAATAAGCATTCAGTGCAGACACACAGACATGCTCCCATGTGGAAATTTTCTAGACCTGATGAGATGTGTATCCTGGTTGCTGTGCTGCCTAACACCCTGCGTGTATCCTCGTTGCAATTCATTACTTTAGAACAAAAACACAATCTGTATAGTCTTAAGTTTAAGAGGAGACAGAGAGGATTTGGGTTATTGCTACTGACCAATTCAAAAATATTGTATGGCAAGATAGAGATACTGTGTATCTGGTGAATACAAACATGAACCTCTACAGGTACTGGTTTGAAAATGTCTGCAAAACAATATAAGATAAAGAAAGAAAATTATAGGAAAGCACAAATGATCTCCTTTCACAGTAAATACATACATTAGTTTCATGTATGTACATTATAATCTGTGTAACCGAATCTGAAAAAATATATCTGTTAAACTGTGGATTATTTGTATAGTTGAAGAGACAGGGATGGCTTTTCTGTGGTCTGTTGTTTAAATTATAATTTTATTCTTCATATATTCAGGTAAACATTGAGATAAAACGTTTTAAATTTTGAAAAACTCATTTAAAATAACTTACTAAAAATCGTGTAGAAAACATGTAAAGTATGATGTTCAAGCCGTTTTCTTGGGTGAAGTCTGAAGCTACTTTGAAATGATATGCACTCATTTATATATTTAAGTAAATTCTAACGGGATATACTGTATAGAAAATATTCTTACAGTTATTTGTATAGAGTTGTTCTCTTTGGATATTTTCAATATTAATAAATTTCAGCATGTTTATATAATCAGAGATATAGTAGGTGAAGACATTATGATCTTATTATCCCATATAACAAAACCCTTAAATTTATCAGAGAGAATTCTAGAAGTCTGAAAAGGCTCCTGGAAAGCTATAGTGGCTCCCATCCTTTCCATAAGAAGGATCTGGTCTTGATTGAGGTCCTGCCTGTGGATCATGGGCAGACTGCAGTTCTGGTTCTGGGCACAAGATGGCGCATGCCAGATAGCTCATATTTTCTCCGATAGGGTAAAGCAATGAAAGACCTTCGTATAAGGGGCTGGGGATTTAGCTCAGCGGCAAAAGCGCCTGCCTGGCAAGTGCAAGGTCGTGAGTTCAATTCCCAGTACGGAAAAAAAATAGACATTATATACAGTGCAGCTGAGATTCCATTGACAAATTTGCGTGCTTGAAGAAGAGATAAGGCCACATGATGATGACATGAAGATTTAAACAGAAAAACTAGTCTGACTCATAGAAGACATAAAGCCGTTAATTCCTTCTAACCCCAGCTCATACTTTTTATGAGAGAATATGTTTGGCATGAACAAAATCAAGTTTATATATCCCACAGAATATTTCATATTGTAAGAAAATAAGGGAAAGTAAGCATGACACCTGCATCAGGGATAAGATTTCACCTCAACCTGTATTTCAGAGTAACACACCCACTAGAGTTATGGTAAGAATTTTCCTTTGCACTTTTTCCATGTTATTGATTTGATCTCCTGTCTTGCTTTTGTACAAACTAGGTTACTATCGGAGGTGAAGTCTCTGTTGAAGTGACAGTCAACTGAGTGGGATCACAGGGCCAGACCCACTACAGTCCAGGTGACAGAGGGTAAGACTTCCGAGTTCATGAAACATTTCACACTAAATCAGCTTGAGATCTTGGAGGATAATGTATTTTGCTCCCTAATTTGTAGCCATAACATTTTAAATTAGCATTTCATGTTAAAATCATGTTGGGTTGAGAATTTCAGGTACAGGTCAGTGTGTGTTTCTTATTCTGCAGCTAAAACATTTGTAATTAACAGTCAGAAATTCTTGTTTTGGAAAGTAAAGTAAAACCACCTTGCAAAATTCGTAAAAGAGACTATTTAGCTGTCTGAGGTTCCAGCCAAAGCCTGACTCTCAATTCCTTGACAACTGTTCTGTCTAATAAGTGGCCATAGCAGCCAATCTCAGTCTCTGCCTGCTAAGACTATGCTGTTTTATGTAATACAGCCATTGTGTCATTTGAATCCAGGTAGTACAGACCTTACTCTCTTTGTCTACCTGCTTGGAAGAACAGGAAAACACTTGAGCTTAAGAATTACAAAGCTTTGATTCAGCTAGCACAGCGCTTTACGATGAGCTGTGCTTGGATATGTAGCACTAGGAAAATTTGAGAACTTACTGGAAATGAAAACCTTATGAGATGAATATAGACCTTTCAAGTACAGATGAGGGCTAGAAATCTAATGTACTGCAAAGGTTGCAGACCACTGTGATAGGTATTGTTATAACAGTATATCCAGTATCATAAACAGATTCCCTGATACCAAATAAACTTTCTACCTCTGCTGACGTGTACACAATTTACTTCTTAATAAATATATTTACATTCTTCAATTGGAGGTTTTATAAAAGCTTTTCCAGTAATTATCTCCCCCCTTATATTTGCTGCATTGTTCTCTCTCTGATCCCTCATTGAGCATTTTTCTTTGTAGTTTATTTCCTACCGGTTTATTATTGCTCACCTCCTACTTGGGAAAACTAATTTTACTTATACATACTTTTCCTTTTCCCTGTTTCAGCACTTTCCTGTCTTGTCCAATTGAAACAACGGGTTCAAGCATCCTCAGGAAATCGTCGTGGAGTAGAACAGGCCCCACAAGCCATAAGCTTTTCATAGTTCCAAATTAAAGAGGCCTTTGTAAGACTGTTGTTTCTGTTAGGACATTTTTTGTAGTGTCGCAGACAGAGAGCCACCTCAGTTTCTGATAGTGACTTCTTAGCACACAAATCTAAATCAGTATGAGTGCTGAATATGTCTTATGCAACTGGAAAGGGCAGGCATGGCCAGGGAAAGTTCTATCTAGATCTGCAACTTCATCAGGTGGTAAGGGAAAAAAAACGTTCTCCCTAGAAGTTCAGATACTCTCACTAGATGAAACAGTTAAGGTAAGGAGCACAGAAACAAAGGTCCTACGTAAATCAGAAATTGAAGCCATTGTTTCCTCCCTAACGGTACAGTCAGAGGTCAGTGCTTTACCTAGAGAGGAAACGCCTTATGAAAGAGCACTAAAAGAGGCCCTGGATATCCTGAATAAGGGAACAAATTTGAGTCGAGCAAGCATGACAGATGAAGAAGAGGCTACTGTACAATCTGAAAATGTAGAGCAAGAGCTGTCTTACAGACCACCTCGTAAAAGGTACCGGAAGGATGAAGAAGACTTACCAAATTGTCTTAAAGAAAATGAAGACCAAATATTCCTGTTACTGTCTTCAGAGAGTGATGACTCCCTGTCTGATGGCAAACTAGAGGTGCAGACAGCTGTTGATCCCATACAAAATGAAACAGAAGTAGAGTCACCACAAAGCTCCAGCAGTTGCCTGACTTTCCCTTTGCTTTCAGAGGATGATGATAAAAAAGAAAACAAGCAAAAGATCTCAGTAATTATGGCTGTAAAGTCTACAGTTAAAGGGGAGAGTGAGTACATTAAAGACGAAAAGAGTGTTCCATCTTTGTCATCAGATATCCTTACTGCATCCGAAGTTTCAAAAGATGAAGCACAAAACACCAGCCTGAACACTCTGCCCGTTTCCTCTGAATGCTCCACCGTCTCAGAGACCACTGAAGACCCTGAAGAGGGTCCCTCAAATCTAAATACATGCTTAGATGCCAGCCAGAATCAACCTTGTGTGGGATCAGAGGTGGATGCTGCGACATCCCCTCCAAGTTGTTCATGGGAAAGTCAGGCTTCATTTAGTGCCTGTAACTCTGTCCTGGGTTACTCACTTCTCGTAAATAATGAAAGAAGTCTTCAGAGACAGGGTAGTGAGGAAATTGAGGAACACGCTCAAGCTCCTGATAGGTCAGTGAATCTAAATTCTGTCAGTGCTTCTGCATTAGAGGAAAGTGAAGAAGATGAAGAACTTCCACGCTTTGTTCTTCAGTATGAGCCACAGTCATTTGAAACAGGAACGATGGTCTGGTTTAAATATCAAAAAAATCCATTTTGGCCAGCAGTAATAAAAAGCGTCAGACCAAAAGAGAGAAAAGCAAGTGTGCTTTTTGTTGAGGCCAACATGAGTCCTGAAAAGAAAGGCATTAGAGTAAATTTTCGAAGATTAAAAAAATATGATTGTAAAGAAAAGCAAGAGCTAGTGGAGAAAGCCAGGGAGGAGTACAGTGAAAGTATTGACTGGTGCATCTCACTAATTTGTGACTACAGAGTTCGACTAGGTTGTGGTTCTTTCTCAGGTTCTTTTCTTGAGTATTATGCTGCTGACATTAGTTATCCAATGAGGAAAATAATCCAATGTGACACTTTCAGGTATAGATTTCCAAAGCTGAATAATGAAGATACTATGGAACAAATGGCTGTGACTTCCCAGACCAAGAAAATGGCCTTCCAGAAAATTCTCCCTGACCGGATGAAGGCTGCTCGAGACCGAGCCAACAAAAATCTAGTGGACTTCATTGTGAATGCAAAGGGCACAGAGAGTCACCTTCTGGCCATTTTAAAAGGCAAAAAAGGATCCAGATGGCTGAAGACATTTTTACAAACAAACAGATGCATGCCCTGTATTGAAACATATTTTGAGGATGAAGATCAACTAGATGAGGTGGTGAAATATTTGCAAGAAATCTATAAGCAAATAGATAAAAGGATGCTAACACTGATCAAAGATGACAAAATTAATTTTATCCTGGAAGTTCTTCTGCCAGAAGCAATTATTTGTTCAATTTCTGCTGTTGATGGATTAGATTATGAGGCAGCTCAAGCGAAGTATCTGAAAGGACCATCTCTCGGCTATAGGGAAAGGGAATTATTCGATTCGAAAATCTTGTTTGAAAAGAGACGGAAACACTAACTAACAAAGCTCATTAGACATCCCAAGTCAAAACCTGTTATGGTTTCATAGATGAAAGTTTTCATAGAGACTAGTTTTAAAGAATCAGTAGCAGTTCTTTCTAACATATAAATATTCCTGACAATGGGAGATTTTGGCTAATGTTTCCACTGGCTTTTAATGATGTTTAGGACCTGCAGATAGTACTACATTTTTACTTTCTTGTGCTTCTTCAGAGAAAATTTTATTAAAATATCTCAGCAGTTTTACTTTATCAGACGTTTCTAGAATGTGGAATTCCTAAAGAATTTTTAAAGGAGAGTACTATTTTGTTTTATGATATTTTTGTGCCTGTGCTATAGAGCTGAATATAGTGTGCACAATCATTTTAATATTGAAATTGCACTAGTATTGCATTTTAAGGGAGATAATTAGAAAAGTGTAAGAGAAGCAGCACGTATATATTTTTGCTTACTTTTTATAAAACACTGAGGTTTCTCTTAAGACAGTGGAGTTATTTTTTGTGCCATGCCTACTTATTTTTGCAAAATGTTATCCGAGACATAACCAAAGATAGATAAGCTTTGCTATATATTGTAACTAAGTATAATTGCTTTTGCAAGAAGACAATCTAAAGTTCAAAAGTGAAGTAAGTGGATTAACAGCATGTAGCCTATATTTATGTGAATAACATCTCAGCATGCAGACAGGGATTGTGGAAATCTTCAACGGAATTACTTGTTCTATACTTCCCTGAAATTCCATTTGGGGGAGCATCTCTTCTTGAAGGGCTACACAGTTTCTTAAAACAGGCAAGATTCTTTCTGGCTATCTTCATAATGACCAGTGAGTGTATCTTCTTAATACAGCTGTCTGACCAAATGAAGAAGGCAGTGACAGTCATTGTGTTTGTAGTCTGTCCAATCTATAGGCATGGCTCACTGCTGAAGAACCTGTCTAGTTTGACATAAACTGTACAAAATGCAACCAGTATATTGAGTCTTATCTCTTTATATGTAGTCGTTTGTCTCAAAAGAAGGATGCTTTAGTGCCTGGGTTATTTGTAGAATTGTTCCAATTGTTAAATGTAAGTGACAACTGATAAGTCATTCCAAACTACTAGAAAGAGTAACGGACCAGAATCTTGGAGTTTGGATGTGTGTCACAGGGAAAACCTCTACCCTCCAAGTATGACAGTTATTCCTATGAAGTTAATGTGCAGAATTAAAAGCTAAAACCAATGACTTGTTTATTGTAACTTGAAGTGTGAGTTTTTGTGAGACTAAATCTTAGAAAAGCTGTTTATGTTTAAAATGATGTAAACAGAAGTGCTAAAGCCTTCACAAGAATTTGTGTGCATTTTTCCCTCTTAGAGTGAAACACCAGTCAGTTCTGGGCTCTTGTTATACATCTACCTGGAAATGTGCTTCTGAAAAATTTGCAAAAGTTTGCTATCTTGATTTATAATAAAGCCATTATATACTTCACTTTGAATGTTCTCTTCGTCTTGTGGTTGCTATCATTTTAATGCTTGCTATAAGTAATCATTCTAAATAAATACTCACTTTCATGGTTATGGTTAATTTTGTATTATTTTTAAAGCCTTCCAAATTTTATGAACTGTGGACTGCACAAAAGATCCTCTCTCTAAATCCTGCCTGGGAAAGACCAGTGTCATTGGGTATATAGCCTATAATCAATGGTGGTGAATCTGTACCACACATGTCACAGTGGGCTGTTTGTATCCTTGAAGGCTCTAAAAGTTTAGCCATCACTGCATACCAAGTCATGTGCCTCTCACACGTTCCTGGGAAATACTTGGCAAGAGACCACAGCCATACAATACAGGGAATCTATACCCTGGTAAAACACACATTATAATACTCTGCCCCTATGATTCCAGTGTATGATCCACCTTCAGAAATTCTGGTGAGTTCTGTTTTCTGGTTCTAATTTTATTCATCCATTCTCTCACAGCAACATAAGTCAGGAGAGCAGGTGATAGGTAGTTTAATGTTGTACTCTGGTGAGAGATTGAAGGTCAACATAGAAAGGAGATACATGTATTACTCATGGGATACAAGGACAATGTAATTTCTGAGATGAATTGAATGTATTGTATCAGAGAGAGAAATATTGAACTTATGGGCTGACTATTTGTATTTGAAAGGCAGAGCTCAGGGTTTCCTTATATCTGTGAGTTCCTGGGTGTCTGTTTTGTGGTAAAGAGTGCTCTTGAAATGTCATTAATCTTGAGGCATATGTTGAAGTAATGGAGCTACGCCTAAAACGTACTTCTATTATCCTCTGAATCTGTCATTAATTGCATTTGGCATGATGAAGAGGATGGGTTTGGCTGCTAGTTTGGTGTGGACTCAGGTCACTTTCAACCTGAGTAATTGTTAAGGCAGGCACTAAGATTACCCTAAAGTGAAACTGTAATGTGTGTTTGTTTCTGAGCAGAAAGGCTGTCGTGTCATCCACTTTAACAAGGTAATTTAAGGAGATGTTTATAGCTTCTGGCTTTAAAGCAGATCCCTGAATATTAGATGCAAGCTCTATTTGTATGTTTTAAAGAACAACATGAAGATTACAGGCACAAGGAGATCAGGTATATCTATGTATCTATTACCTATCTATCTGTTTTCCTTTGATCTATGCATCTACCTATCATTGATCTATTTTGACAAGAAAAGAGAACCCTGAGTCCTGGGGTGGTGATGAATGTAAGAATATTGAATATCTGCAATCCCCCGAATCCTCACCTTTGCATTAGTAGCCTCCTCAACCTGTAGTAGTGAACTAGCCCAGAAGATGTTGCTTGCACTGCTCCATATCCAGCACTGACATTTTTCACCATCTCCAACTTATAATAGTAAAAAGTGAAAGATACTGAATTAAAACAGGTGGAATATACTTTCTATTTGAAAGGAACTAATGAAATGGACTAATACCACCAGCATGAACTGGATAACATATTTTGGAACATGTTTTGCATTTTGAAGATGTCAAGCTAGCAAGAATGGAGCAGAGAACATAGGTGAATATGAGAGCTTAATATGGTAGCAAACACCAGTGGCTTGGGGTTCAATGAGCATGTAATGTGCTAGTATAGAGGCTTTCTCTTCCCTCATCACCTTCCTTTTGCTTTCATTTTCTCTGTAGCTTTCGTTTTGCAGTACCAGTGATTGATTAAATGTGCAACCCAGGCCCCTGCACATGCATGATAAATAGCTACACCACAGAACTATATCCCCCATCTTTGTGTTTTGTTTTATTTTATTATTTTGAGACAAGGTCTCCCTAAATTGCCTAGGCTGGCTTCAAACTTGTGATCCTTCTGCTTCAGGATCCTGTGTAACTGAGATTACATGCCTGATCACTCTTTAAAAGTGAACACCATCAGTTGAGCAGAGCTACCTTAACAGAATACTGTGAAGTTGGTGACAAGGTCAGAGGAGTTTGTTGTGTTAGAATTGATATATTGTAGGAGACAAAAGAGCCTACCTGTGAACTGTTTTCCCTAGGAGGCAGAAAAAGGCATTACAATGCTATCAAATGTTTGATGAGGAAAATCAGGGACATTTATGAGGAGCTCAATGTTGTGTTCCTCTGAAAACCATGGCTGGAAGTAAATTATGTTGCAGTAGGGTAAGATTCCCGAATGTTAGGCCACAGGAGCAAAGAAAGCATCATGTCAAGAAAGGTCAGAGTGGAGTGAAGTAAATTTAATTGTCAGAAAACTGGCAATGCCTAAAAAACAGTAGTATTGCAGTGCTTCACGTACAGACAGCTGACTGGTGTACTGCACCTTTAGTTCAAAAACAAAAAGATGTGAATTGTGTAGCCAAAGCCTCATGTTAGCAGCTGCAGTGCAAAATTATAGTCCCCCACCAAATTTGAAGATTCCCAGTTGCTCTGCTTCTAAGGCCATACCATTTACCATATCTGTACTAGCTTCTCCATGGTTGGGACAAATTAGCTGACATTAACAATTTAAAGGAGGAGAAGTTTATTTGGTTCATAGTCCCATAATATTCAGTCCACTTTTGGCTAGCACCAAGTAAGGAACATCATGGCAGAAGGTCATGGTGTAACTATACTGCTTAACTGCTAGCAACCAGGAAGCAGAGCAGAGGAAGAGTGCCAGAGAGAATGGGCTGAGGGGTCAGTTACAGACCCAGTGGTCAGGCTTCTACAACCCACGCAGACACATCAAGCAGTGTGCTTTACTAAATCTGTGGGAAAATGCCAAACCAGTATAATTAATGATTCAGTTTAAATGTCAGTTCCCCCCCCTTGTCGATCTAATGTGCACATACATATCCTTGAACTACACTTAATTTCCAAGTAAACGCAAGATCACAATGATCCCTAACATGCTACAACTACCCCATGTACAACTAAACACAATCCCTTCCTCCAAAGTCTTACAATCCCAGCATTGCTAAAAAGCCCAAGTTAAAGTCCTCTCTGCAACTCAAGGCATACTCTTAGCTGTGAGCCCATGTAAAACATCAAAAATAAATTACATAGTCCCAGGGTACAATGGAACAGGGTAAACTTTCTTATCCCAAAAAGGAAGGATAATGGGACATCAAGAGTCAGATAAAGGAAAGACAAGAATTTAGCAAAGCACACATTAAGTCCCACAGCTCCATATCCAGCATAAGGGGTATGGGTGGTAAAATGTGAGTTCTGGTGGACTTGGGAAGACCCACCCCAGTAGCTTTGCTAGTTTTAGCCCTCAGGACCACTTGCAATGACTCTGCTCACTGCCTGCAACTTTCCTTGGAAGACATTCTACTTTCCTGGCATCTTCAACTTCCTGGAATCCTCACTGCACCTTCAGTTTCACAGCTTCATTCTTCCCCTTTTCAGGGGCACATTTTCTGGCTTCAATACCTTCTTTTGAAATCTAGGTGGAAGTTTCCATGACACCACAACTTTTGCATTCTGCATGCCTGAGAAACCAGCATCATGTGGGTGATGTGATCTCTGCAATCAGAATGAACAGTAGGAAGGCCCTTTGGACGATGGCTTGCAGTGACTTGTGAGCATGGTGAAATGATTCCCAAGAAGCCAAATTTCTAGGTGTTCCTTCTCAAGTAAAGGGCAGAAGGGCTCTATTCTCAAATGAAAGATTTACACTTTTGAGTTCTGAAGCCTACAATGCATGGGAGCCTTGCTGATTTGTGAGATACCCCAGGCATCATTCTTCTTGTCTCCTTAACAGGGTAATTGGTTTATTTTTAGTGATGTTAAACTCTCTAGCCACCGAAACTCCTTGGCCCCACTTTTACATATCACTGCTCTTGTACAAAAATTTACCTTTTTCAAATTTTCTACTCAATAGAGTAATTGGTTTATAGTTTCAGGGACTTGAGTCCATGTCAGCTGGCAACAAGGCAGGAACATTATTGGAGAAGCCATGGTAAAACCAAGCTTCGTAGTTCATGGCAGCTAGGAAACAGAGCAAGAAACCAATACCAGAGGGGATGGTGCTAGAGACCAGATATAGACCTCAAGACTCTATGACTTACCTAGTCACATGCAGATTCATACTTTGCTAATCCTCTGGGCAGCTCCAAAAGACGATGAAATTAACAATCCACCTTAACTGTGCAAGTCCCTTCCAGAACCACATATGGTGGATAAGTATGTAGTATCTAATCACTTTTAAGCCATCATATAAGAGCTGCAACATGGAATTTTGATGTTCTGAAGAAAAACTTTGACTTCTGTAAACTACATGCCACTAAAAAATAATAATTTTTGCACAATTAAGACTTAGTACACAGTTCCAAACCAAGTCACAACAAATGACTGTATAAAAGGAATTTCCCATCTTAAATTGCAAATTATATGATCAACCCAGTGATACAATACAGCAGGCTTAGCAGCAATCCACACACACCATGATAGAACTGATACATTTGACATCCAGCCTGAGCTAGTGGAAAAAAAAAAACAGTCAGGAGATTATGCAAATCCTCACAGTCCTGGTGACTGGTGCAATGATACTTCTCCATTAGGCTCTCATGAAATAGGAGGTAATCTATGACCCACTAGGAAAAGAGAAAAATAATCAGTCCTGGTGGTCAGGTGTGAGCATTAAGTAATGATGATCATGATGAATTACTGCTGTCCCATTTTAGCCTCAGTTATAGTAACCCTGAAGAATACTTGGCAGAGATGTGAATACTAAACATAGTACCTCACTTTGTATGGCGGGAGAAGTGGCCCGAGGTCATCTACTGGACTGTAGAGAATAAATAGAGTGCTATCTAAGAAGGAGAATGGTTAGAAACTGAAGATAAGAAATTCTGGCTGTGTATGTGAATAGAACTATGGGAAGTAGATTGCATGCATCTCTGTGCTTCATACTAATGGCCATCTGGAAGAACTGACTGTAGAGAAGGTGCTCAACAACTAGGCAGCTCCAATGACTCATGAATGTCTAGCAACTTGTCTGTTCAGTTATGTTAGTTATGGCACATGCATTCAGGAGATGTCAGAGTGGTAGAGACAGAGCTTATGCATGAGTTTAATAGTATTGGTTCTCTCTTGCCAA